CTGAATTGGAACTAATGTGGCTTGTGCTTTGTCTGCTGAGGTCACTCAGCAGAAAATCTCTGGGCCTCTGCAAAAGCTCTTAAAGCCCATTCCCTTGTTACAAGGCTGTTTGTGAAAGGCTTTTCTGTTTTAAGTAGGATGCTCTGAAGGAGGCAGCACTCTGATTATAGTAAATGCTGTATGTTCTAGGTATTTATATGTCCGGCTGGACGGCACCATGTCCATTAAGAAGAGAGCAAAGATTGTGGAGCGATTCAACAGCCCCTCGGTGAGTAGAACTTGCCAGATGTGAGCAGCTCTCTTGCCAGATCTGAGTGCTGTGAGTAATAACGTGGCTGCCTCTGTGGTCTGATCCCAGCCTGCCTTTTTCCACAGAGCCCTGAGTTCATCTTCATGTTAAGCAGCAAAGCAGGTGGCTGTGGTTTGAACTTGATTGGGGCTAACAGACTGGTGATGTTCGATCCTGACTGGAATCCAGCCAACGACGAGCAGGCCATGGCTCGCGTGTGGCGCGATGGCCAGAAGAAGACATGCTACATCTATCGGCTGCTTTCGGTGAGTCACATTCCTCTCATCTCCTCAACATGGAGTTTTAGATGCCAGCCCAGACTGCAGCTGCTGTAATTGGGGCCAGAAGGGGAAGAACTCTTTTGTGTTGGTGACCAGAATTGATTGGAACTTAATTACTTCCTACCGTTAGATGTGTTGCCATGGAAAACCATGAAGGTTCTAGCTGGAGGGTCATTGCTTCTGCCCTTGGTTTCTAAAGGCTGTTTTCTGAGGGATGGAAACGACTGTGGCTTTGCAGATAAGATGCTCCTTTGAAGTCATTTAGGCATTTGACTTCTTTAATTTTGTGGGGCGTCTGATGCCAGCATTGCTGTTTTTCAGTCAGGCTGCAGTCTGTTTGAGTTGGGTGTACGTGTACTTAATAAACAGCAAGTACATTCCCAGAATTACAGCCGTGTTTGGGATGGGGCTGCCGGTTAGCAGATGGGGTAGCTGCTCTGTAAAGTGAAACCATGAAGGAGACTAGGCTTTTCAGGCTACTGAAACACTTTGTCCAGGACTGCCAGTACTGATTACTGCTCAGAAATGTCCCCTCTCTGCTCTTGTTCACCTTCACCCTTCATTAGTTCAGGCTGTGGGGTTTTTTTGGTTTGGTTTGGTTTAGGGGTGGGTTGTTTTGGTTTTTTTTGTATGTGGGTTTTGGGGGTATTCTTGTAAGCTTGTCTTCCTTGATTATTTACGATTTTTGTTTTGGCAAAACAGATGTTCTTTGCCCATCTCTTCCTGATGGTGTTACACTTCTCTGACCTGGCTGCACTTGGAAGCAGGGAGCTCCTTTGCATTTAGAACTAAGAAACAAATCTGCAAATCATCACTAATCACCCCCCTCCTTGCTATTACATTTGTTTGCAAAACAGACACTGAGTTTTCTGCACAGCTGTTCTGGAAGCAGAGTCTCCCTCCAGACAGGGTGTGATTGATCTGTGTGTGTGTGAATCAGCAAATACTGCTGATTCTTGTTTCACGCAGGGCTAGCCCTTATTGCTGTTCTGGGGGGAGATTGTTTGGGTATTTTTTGTCAGGGAGCAGCTGTAGCTGCTCAGCTCCTTTCCCTTCCTTCCTGTCAGCACAACCTGGTGTGGTGGGTGAGCTTCAGTCATGAATGGCAACTCCATCTCTTCCTCATTCATATCTCCACTGGATCCACTCCTGTAGCCTCTGTGAAAGACAAACAGAGTTGGGTTAGATCAGTAACCAAACTAATGTGGTTGGAATGCAGCTAGTAAAACTTGCCTGTCATCCATACTGGTCTGGCAAGGCATGGAGTGGTTCTGACAGCTTACTGCCATTTGATCTGAGACCCTTTCCCAGTGCACTGGTCCTTTAACACTAGTGTCTCAACTGTGTTTCACCTCTGGCTCTCCTGTAGACAGGGACCATAGAGGAGAAGATATTCCAACGCCAGACCCACAAGAAGGCCCTCAGCAGCTGTGTGGTGGATGAAGAGCAGGATGTGGAAAGGCACTTCTCACTTGGGGAGCTGAAGGAGCTCTTCACGTTGAATGAGACTACTACCAGTGACACGCATGACAAGTGAGTATTCTGAGTGACTAATGGCTGGGATAGCAAAAGAACCACTCCACAGTTTAGTGATTCAGGGGTTCCTCAGGCAGTAACTCAGAGAGAGAGAGGGCCTTAATAATTGCCTCTGCTTCTGAAGCTGTTAACCACCTGGAGATAGAGCACCTCCTTGCTGTCCTCCCTTTTGGTTGTCTTAGAAAAGCTGTGCTGGCTGGACAAGTGAGCAGACTGTCTTCTTGCTGCCCATGTTTGGAGACTGTGAAATACTGCAGTTAGTGAAAAGAGAAACTCATTGGAGCTGTTCCAGTTGGTGGAACAGAACTTCATCCTTCCTGCTGCTCTCTTCCTGGTGGTCTGTGATCTCAAATGCTGAGCTGCTTCCTCTCTTAGGGTTCTTCCATCTGCTAAGAATTCATGAAGCCAACCCAAGTGCTGTTCTGAGGACTAAGAGTCCTCTTCTCCACTGTCTGCCCTTCTCCCCCACCCCTGGGACCTGTAGTATTGTAGCCGCCAGAAGGAGGACAGGATGTGCAGGGAAAATACTTCACTCTGAAAGTTAAGACTCTTAGTTCAGGCAAGAAGTGAAGAGGATTAGTTTTAAGCTGACTCAGAGCTTAGCTTGGAGTAGACATCCAGTCTGCATGGCAACAGCCCCTTTCAGGGCTGCTGCTGCTCTTTGTCTCCTTATGTGACAGCTCAGTAGGACTTCTCCAAAACAGCCTGAGCACAACCTGCTGGCTGTGGTGGGAGCCAGGATGGAGCATTTTGGAGCATGGTGTGCTCTTATGAATTCAGGAATCCTGATGCAATGCTAAGAAGGTGTTTGCAGCATTCACTTGAGATCTGCTCTAAGCAACATCCTACACCTTTCCGGGGAAGCTGAACTTCCTCTGGGTCCTGCTGGACCGTTCCCACCTGGTTAAATATGGAGAGGGAATGCCTTTAGAAACAACCCCCGGGCTTCCAGAATGTGAGTCTCTCCTGATCTCTCACACACACCAGAAGGTAGTTGTGTGTTTACGTGAAACATGGTAGTAATTCAGAAAACCCAGTGGCTGGTGTGGCAGGTGAAGGGGAGTTAATCCCAATGTTCCTGGGCTGCGTTTTTGAACAACCCATATGCTAAAGCAGCAGAGGAGCCTTGCACTGATCTTGCACTGACTCTGTTCCAGGATCAAGTGTCGTCGCTGTGTGAACGGCCACCAGGTACGGCCTCCCCCCGAAGGGTCTGACTGCACCTCGGACCTGTCCCAGTGGAACCATAGTGCGGATAAGCGGGGCCTGCAGGACTCCGTGCTGAAGGCTGCCTGGGATGCGGCTGTCACCTTCACTTTCCATCATCACTCCCATGAGGAGCAGCGAGGGATTCCCTAGCAGGTTACTGTCCCCTGTGGGGGCAAAGGGCAGGCTGCTGTGGTGGCTCGCCCCACTTTAATCCCTTTCAAGGAAAAGGGCAGTGGGCAACTCTACAGGTTGGACTGTTGTGTGGCTGTGGAATAGCAGAACAGTGTGGCTTCCCAGAGGCTGGAAGGCCCTTGGCAGTGTTCAGTCTACTGCAACAGCAAGGAGTCTGTTTGTTCTGTTGTATTGTGTGCCTGAAAAACAACTTGGGAACTGGGAGTAACGAGACCTTGCATGCTTGATCACATCTATCACTGGTTCTCATGCTGTTGGTGTGTGTGCCTTCTACTCAGCCAGGTTTTGTCTTCAGGTGGAAGTTAAGCCTGGAGTTTTATAGTGCTTGATGCGCAGTCATGTTTTTTTTCCTTGACACCTATGGCTTACAGCTGCTGATTAAAACTTGCAGGATCCATTTCTGCTGTGAAATGTGAACCTTGCTGATTACTTAGGAACAAGAGGATTTGTACAAGGGAAATTTCAGCTTGTGTGTTGAACATTGGGCCTGAAACATCATGCAGGCAGTAGGAAATCAGGCTCTATTATGGTAACTCCATTTCTAAACCCACTCTTTGTTATGGGCAGGATCCCCTGATCTAGCAGTGTTTTAATGAGATCACATTACATGCCAGTAATAAAATTCACACTTTGGTACATTGTGGGTCTTAATTTTTATTCTAAAAATGTTACAAAAGAAGTAACTATGCAAAACTTCTGTAAAATGACTGTAGACATTGGAAAAGAGCAACATGAGTGCAAATAAACAGCAAGCTACTTTGTACAGAAAGAATATTTTTTTTTGTATAAAGCAAAATTTTCCAAATGGAAAAGGTCAAGGCTGAGGGCTTTTAAGCTTGTTTTCTACTCCCTTTAAGTGGAGGAAGGAGTTCTTAATTCACAGATTACAGAATGGCTGAAGTTGGAAGGTTGAAGTTGTCCAACACTCCTCCTCAAAAGCGAGGTCATCTAGAGCTGCTTGCCAAGGACCACAACCAGATGGCTTTTGAGTCTCTCCCACGATGGAGATAGTTATTGATGAGACATTGGCTGAAACAACATGAAATTTGTCACAACACCCAATTAAATAAATAACTGCTTGTTCAGAGATCTGCGGGAAGTTACAGAAGCTCATTTAATACAAGTCCCATTTGAAATACACAAAATAAGAAGATGGTAGAGTCAGATCACCTGAAAATACAACTTATCTCAAGGTCTTGTGTGCCACTTCACTGTGGTACCCCCTCTTCAAATGAATAGAAAAGGGACAAGAACAACTCCGTACTGCTTGAATCTGGGGAAGAAAACCCCATCTGTGCTGTGAAACCAATCTTCCAAAAGACCAAACTGCTTAGTTCAAGCTGATGGGTTTTCTCCAGCTCCTGTGTCCATCACATGACACTAATGTAGTCAGCAAAGGCCTGTGAGGAGTCCCAGGAGTCGTTGACCACAGTGCACACAGCTTTGAGACGCCGCAGTGCTTCCTGAGCTGTTTCTGCATCCTGGTCCAGCCAATTTTGGAAGAGGCGCAGGTGTGTGAACTGAATCTGTCCCCCTCTCTGCTGGATATGGCCTTCCAGCTTCTTTGTGAATTCCAGGAGCCCATCAGGTTTGATGCAATTTGAGCTTTCCAGGGAAAAAAGAACAAAAAATGTCATTAAGAGCCTAGGCTATAATTTGAGCAGTTTAAATTACTCTTCCTTCTAGTAACTGCCTCTGTATGTTTCAAGGCAAAGTGCATGTTTCTTCAGCAGTACAAAGCGTGAGTAGTCTGTTAGTCTTCATGAAAACCAAAACTGACGCATAGTAATATCAAGGGTTGGAAGCTTGTTAGAACTAGGTGGTAACCACTGACAAGTTAAACTCATTATCCTGACTTCTACTTAAGTCAGTAGTAAGGATCTACTGGCTTTAAAATGTTGCTGAGCCCAACCTACTGCAGTGTCAGGAGTACTGCAGTCTGATAGCAGCTGTCAACTGCCTGTACCTAGGGGCCTAGCCCAACCCACAGGTCCTCAGCAGTAAGTGATAATTTATTTCTTCCTTCTGAGGAAATCTGTATTGCATGTGTCAGATCCTGGTGTGATTAAAAGATCAATTCCCATGCACAGATGTGTAAATAAATGTCAGGTTGCATGCTGGACTTAAATCTTGTCAGATTGTAAAAATCAGGATTCAAGGCTGCTGAAGGAGTGGCCATGGTTGACTAGTCAAGCCTGTGTACTCTCAGCAGCCTGAGCCACTAGGATTCAAAGAAGGGCAGTGGGGGTGAGCATCAAGAACAGTCATTAGTACTGCAGAAATGCCACCCCCCATGTGCTTCATGAAGGTTACTGCCTATTTTTGTGGCCATTCAGGCTCAAGAAGAGGCTTCATGAAGGTTACTGCCTATTTTTGTGGCCATTCAGGCTCAAGAAGAGAGTAGCAGTTCAGGTTGGAGACCAAAGATGAAAAAGGAATGCATAGGCATTCACAGGATCTGACAGGGGCAACGACAACATTCTCTCCCTGCATAGGGGCAGTGGGAACAGAGCTATGTGTTCACACTGATGCTTAAGAATAAATATAGGTAGGGATGTTAGTTCTAACCTACAGGTTGGGGAGGGCCTGCAACAGCCTCCCAAGGGAGCAGCAAACCAAAGCTGCTTTTAAGATAGAGCTTTACTCATTTATAAAGGGGACAGTGAGATGCCTCAGAGGTGCTGGAAGTCCCCAAGGTTGTATGTGCCCATTGTAGCATTCTCTGAGCTTTTCTTAGGCACACATTCCCTTGAAGAAGGAACAAAACCATGCTCAGGCTTCTCCTGCTGTCAAGGCCTTCCGCTCTGGCCCTCCCAAAATGAGAAATGCAGTGTTTAGAGCAGCAGAATACCTGACATCCAGCTGGCAAAGAGAAGAGGAGGAATCTTCAGAAAAAATGTCTGCAAGGGCAACCAGCCTGTGATTCCCTGTAAGGGGAGAAATGTCAGTGTTAGATGCAAGCTGGGAACTGTCTTAAATATTTAAATGCCAGAGGGCTGGGATAAAAGTGCAGAAAAGAGGCTGTAAGCATGCACATGAAGTCTCATCTCTTCACCCTCAGTCTGTCCCACTCAGTGGCCTAAAGCAAGTTCATCCCCCTGAGCACTGTTCAAGGCAATGAAAACATCTGCTGATTGGGCAGTTTGTTTCACTAGAAAAATCCTGGTTATGTTTGAGAAATCCATATGCAACTTTGGTTTAGAAATTAAGTGTATTCAGGTTATCCCAAGCTTTTCTGTTTTATTTCATTAAAAGAACAGAAAACAATATTCTGGATTTACCTGAAATTAAGTTTTCACACATTTCTACTTGGCCTGTGATCCAAAAAGCCTAACATTCCTGTACATTCAGTTCCATGTAAACAAATTCCTCCTTTACTAGTTCCCATCACTCCTGCCAACAGCTGTTAGGACACAGAATGCCCAAACTTGGACAAAATCTGTGCCTCTGAATGACAGACGGTGCATCTGCTGCTGGATCTGATCCCATTAAAGAGTCTGAAGCAAATCAGTGTTCAGTCAAATCTGGAGACCTGCTGATACTTGCTTTTGCTGCAGAGAAAAGCAACTATAATGCCTGCACAGCACCTGGGCCTTTAGTACATTGCTAAACACAACTGAAATTTTGCTTTAAGAAAATGGACTGTGTTCCTTATTTTGTGAACTAAATCCATTCTGTTCTGGCATGTGTGAAGTTCAGCACTGAGGTCACCAGCAAGCAACAGTCCTGACTCCAGCCCTGGAGTTACCTCCAAGAGAGCTGGTCTAAGGCCCCACAGCAATATTCACAGTACACACCAAGGCGATTCCCAGGCAGTTTGAGGCTCTTCAGGGATGAATTTCTTTTCACTGTATTGATTATTTCTGACAGAAACTCAGCAGTAGAGCTTTCGAACAGACGGCAGAAGGAAAACGTGATTTCTGCGGAGGAAATGGAGTGACAGTACATGTGAGTACTCCCTGTGCCTAATTATTCCATAATTACATTCTGCAGACAGCTCCAGCCCCTAATCCATATGCAAGAACAAAGCTCCCCCAGCAGTGGATTGCATACAACTGCACTGCTGCTCTGTCAGGAACAGAGCAGAGATCACACCTAGGGAAGTGACTTTACCAGCTGACCCAGTTAAAGGCTGATGTGCTCTGCAGGTTAAAAATCTTTGGTTTATAGCCGAGACTACAAACTCTTCTCTGCAGCATACCCCAGCTTTGCAGCTGCTCCTCTCTGCCCTGCTGGCACAAAAAATGGCACATTCTCACTCTGCCAACAGCTACAGATCTGCTCCAGAGACTGACATTTGGCTAAACCTTACACATCCAAAGACAACCTCTTAAAACATCAGCTAGCCACCAGCATCATCTTCCCAAGCAACAGCATGCAGGAGTTTGCTGTACCTTGCAGGATGGGATCCTGAAGCAAAAGCAGAACTTCTTTCTGGTGCTCAGCCAGGTTCATGTCATGAAAACTCAGTTTCTTCAAGTTTGGATTACACTCTAAAAGCAAAACAAGTTCTCAGGTAAAGCACTGCCCATTCTTGGAATAAAAAGACCCTGACCCAGCTAACACCCAGAAGCTGAGTTGGACGTGGGTAATTTGTGCTTGATTGTGGCTAATTACAAAGGAGCCATCCTGCTGTGCAGGATCATCCACATGCTCAGCACAGAAAGTTTCCTTTTCTCAGGAGATTTCAAGGATGTCTACATTGAAGAAATGGAACCACCTAATCTGGCTTCATCACAGCAAGGAAGCTACTCTGTGTGTGCCCCAGTGATGCTGCCCACAGGATAGCAGAGTACCTTTGAGCATCTCCAAAAGGAGCCCAAGCTCCTGAGGGCAGGGCAGTGTGGCACTGTCAAGGGACAAGTGCTGGAGGGACTTCGACGCCTTGAGCACTGGC